ACCACAGAGTTTCAGAAATACAGCCAAAAAGGAAGCTACTATTTCCTGAACGCTCCTGAGAACAAGCGCTGTGCACTGGGGAAAGGCCGTCCTCCTTTGGCAAGAACAAGGAGGGAAGGAAAACTACAGCTCCCAGAAGCCTGCCAGCGCCTGTGGAAGGGCAGAGTTCACTGTCACGTTGACAGGGGAGGATTAAGGGTGTGCGTTGAAGTGTCCCGCCACCGGCGGAGCCAAAAGGCCTCTGGGAAGGGCAAGCGGAGCGCTGGCCTCCTCTTGCCGCTCCTCTGCTTCGCTTTGCCGCCCTGACTGGCTCCAGATCTCCAAGCCTGGGTAAGCGTCCGACATGTTCTTCCTGACTTCCTTCTTCTGCCAGAGCGTCACCAGCGGGAACAGCACAGGGAGGGGAGGGACGAGAGCCAGGCGGCAGAGAGCAGCAATTATACTTTCCCCCCCCACCCCACCCCAACTTACAAATCTTGTATTTAGCAAGAAAACTCAGCTGTGGAGACAGCGTGGGTGAAGGAAGGTGCCCCACTCTGCTAGAAGAGCTACTGTGAAGGCTGAGCTAGAGATTTTTGTGCTGAAAGTTTTCTGTGCCGCCGAGTTTTCCGTGGGCAGGCATTGTGCTCATGAAAGCCATCAACTTTCTCAGATTACACCTACAGCGAGCCTAGCGCTGTCCTGCTTGGCTGTCCGGTCCCAAAGCGCTGTAGCAGATGGAGAAATATTGCTGGGAGGGGTGTAGGGGAGTCAGGCTGCAGCTCCAAGTTCACAATACCTGGCCAGGGCACTGCTTAGACCCCCACAATGGGTGTGAGGTGGGGTGGATGTTTCACCCCATCAGCTTTTCCTGAGACGTTAGCCCTTTTGGGTTAGCCCTTGGACTGCTTGTAGCCTGCCAGGAAGCAAAATAGCTAACAGCCCTCAGGCTGAAGGTTCACGGTTATTGGTGACATCCCTCCATTTCCACACCGCTTCGGTAAGCATGGAGGGAGGAGCTGCCTTCTCCACCATGAATCACCACTCCTGCGTTTCTGCTTATCAGGTTTACAGGCGTTTAGTTTCCACTCCCAAGGTCAAGACGGGATGGTGTCTGTGAGGGGGGGTAGGACTTGGTCAGCCACTTGAACAGCAGGGAGAGACGTCTCCTTATGACCCAAGGAGAAAGTGAAACAAACCGGCGCAGAAGCCAGAGCTCCAGGGGAGAAAGAAAATGGAAGAGAATCCAAGTGTGGATCTGGCTGGAGGTAAGTGGCTCCTGTGTTTACTCCATCTGCTGGGAAAACCCCTTGGCAAGAAGATTTCAACAGTGACATGGGAAACATGAGCAAAATAAATAAATAAATAAATAAAAATTTAAAAAACCCCACCAAAATAAAAGAACTTCCTCTTTTCCAGGCCAGAAAAAGCAAATTGCTATCTTTTTTTGAAGGATGAAAGATTAACAAGTTACTTTCCATTTTGGATTCCCACCAGCGACAGGTTTAGAATCTGTGTCCAGGATGGCAGCACAAGGGAGGCTCAAGAGGGAGCTCCAGACTAGGAGAGCTTTCTTCCCTGCATCCCAGTGCTTCCCATCTACAGATGCTTAAGTAATAAGCCAGTTTTCCACCACCTATGGATGGGAAACCTCTGGAAGAAGCAGGGCAAGGAGAGTTTGAATAGCAGGATACCCTCAGGTTCCTCATATATCAGTTTCCACCATGTGGTTATGTTTCCCAGGTGCCTGTTATGACTACTACCTATGAGTATTTCAGTGATGCTATAACCAGCTCCGATGTGTCCTAGGCAGTCAGAAGTGGTCCTGTAATAATCAGTAATAAGGAATGTAGAAATCATGCCTCAAAGGACTGCATGTTCTGACACATGACAAGTGCAGCTTTTTCTCAGTTTTCAAATCTGTAGGGGGTTCCTTGCCATTTTTATCAGTCTTGATCCTAATTTTAGCATAATCATTTCTGCCATTGTAGTGCTCGAGCATTCACAAGCGATTTTGCACAAACAGCGCCTGCAATTTTAGCTGCCCTGTTCGGTCTCTTAAGATTCAGAATATGTTGCAAATGCTTAAGTCCCGCCTCACAATTTCTCCATTGAATTATGTGCCAGTGTTTGCTTTGAATTATACGTTACCATAGCTCTTTGGGAGAGCAGCTCCAGACCAGGAGCAGAGAAGGAGCACAAGCAGACCTAACATTTACATTCAGGCAGATGTTTGAAATGCGTTGGCATAACCGTTCTGGCCAGTACTCAGCCTTCGAAATACTTCAAATCTATCACCTTAATTTACCAGCCTACTGTCCTTGGAAGATGTGGTAAGATATCCTACCATTCACTGAAGGAATTGCCTGCCCAGCGTCCGTTGAGTTGGCTTTCCTCGTAGCAGCCTGGACAGTGCTGTGGTTTGGATTTGTGGTTTTAAAAAGCAAAAACCAGAAGGTGCTTTAACTATTGCTGAACAGTGCTTGCACAACATCAAGGCTTTCTCGTTTTCCTCAGTCTCCACCCCCAGCAAATAGGCTGGGCTGGACAGAAGATATAACACCACACTCTCAGTAACACCTGGGGTACACGAAGAAGTGGAAAGGGATTGGCTTGCAAGGTGGCCCTTGCTCAGAGGCTGACCTGGCACCAGTCCGTTCATAGGAGGTGGCAAGCGATTGCCTTTACATCGCTTATGACTTCCTCCCCCCTTTCCTTCACCTATTCAGCTGTCTTGATCTCAACCCATGAGTTTTTTTACTTTTGGTCGCCCTCTTTTCTCCCTCACCTCACTGAAGGTAGATGTTTCTGAAATGCAGCTTGTGTAGATGTTTCTGAAATGCAAGAACTGGGAGTTTTACAGGGTGGTGGTAAAGCACTGGGTATTCTTCACTCCTGTATGACTTGCTGAGCATGTGAACTCTGATCCCAACAGCTGGACCAGCCCAAGATAAGGTAGAGAGCACAGCAGAGCATCCTGTGCACCAAGAGCCCATCCAAGAAATACCTGAGCACCAAGTGACAAGCAGGTCGCCTGAGACCTCCTGCAAACCAGAGGAGGACTCTTTGGTGTGTCAATCACCAACTGCTGATGGAGGAGAGACAGCACTGTCAGATTCAACAGAAGAGGAGAAGGTTCCCCAGGAAACTGAAGTATCACTGGAAGAATCTGGGAAAACAGGAGATGGTGTCCCAGAAAGATCCTGGGAAGAAGACAACTTGGATGAAGGTGACTCTCTCCCCTTCTACGTGTACAAAATGCTGATAACCTGGGTCTTTCCTTAAAGGAGGCAGAGCAGCAGAAAAGGTTGTTGGTTCTCGTGCTGAAAAAGTCTAACCATAGGTCTGTGAATTTTATTCCCTACAGACAAGCTGGCCCACGATAAAAGAGAAAGCAAAGGAGACAGCCTTGTCCACCAGGAAACACAGGAGGACCAGGAGACAGACAAGCAATGTGAAAGCTCCCACACAGCAGAGGAAGATGCTTCATCAAGAAGCAAGTCACTGAGCTCTGACAGTAAAATGACACATTCAGATGTGACTGCTACAGAAGATGTCCCCAAGGGCCTTTTGACAGAGAAGAGCAGCAGTGCCTCTCTCCAACACCGGGAGCCAGAAGAGCACACAGAGCAAGAAACACAGGAGAGCGGATCCCAAGGCACCTTAAGGAACAGACATGGGACCAAAGGTGAGCTGGTGGCTGCACGCTGCTGCTCTCCCACTGTACACATTCCTACACTTTCCATAGGTGTTAGAAAAATGGTATGGTGAGCTTTCTAGTGCCCGTTGTCAGGTTTCCAGGGTCGAGCAGGAAAGAAGGTATAAGAAATTAACTGGCTTCTCTCTTTCCC